TTATAGTCTAACCCTCGTTTTTATTTTAAAATTGTACATTACAAGTCGGACACATATGAAAAATAAGGAAAGAGAAAGATGTGAAAGAAGTTATGGTTGCTTTACATCTGTGAATTTTGGAAGTTGTTATTATATATGTACTTGAAAACTTGATATATCTGCAAGACATATACTTGGTATACAATTGATAAGTTTGTAGCTACTTTTAAATATAGCAATTTGTACATTTGAGACTAATGTAAGTCGACCATATCCATTATAAATTAAACATATATGTTTTGTATTATTGGTTCTTATAAAGTTAGATTTTATAAACCACTTCTTTTTTGGATTCCATGAAAAGCAAAGTACAATTCTCAACATTTTTCATCAAAAGTCATCATGCAATAATTCCATTTGATTTGACATTATACAATTTTCTTTTTAAATTAATTAATTTATTTTAGGAGTTCCATTTTGTAGAAGGCACTATATCTTTTAATCATAATTAATGAAATATATATTTTAACTTTGTGAATCGTTTATTATTTACTATTTGTTCATATTGTTAAGAGTTTATCATATGTTTTTAACATCTATTTTAATATTTTTGATATTATCTTTTTTATCGTTTTCACTTAAATTGAATCAAAATCTCAAATGCACTGAACTCAAAGTTGAAACATAATTAACCCGAACAAAACCCCAGGTTCAAAATAATAATTCACGTATCATTCACAACCTCGTCGTTGAAGATTTGTTGGAGAAGAGACTGATATAACACAAGAAAAATGTGATATTTCAAAGTAAACAAATAAGAAATAAGTTATGGGTATTAAAAGACTAAAATATCCCTTAAAGATATCATACGCTCGATCATCATTGAAATGCATACGAGGGACTGTAAGGATCTTGATCACCATCACCTCCTCTCTCCTTAAGGTCGAGTTTGATGTGGTCCAGCCTAAACATCTCATTCATGATCCCTTTCATACCATTCCCCAATCTATGGAACCAACGTGCACAACTACGTACGTAATAGCTTATCCCACAAATCATATGTTTAGGTAAAATCAATTTAACCGTACAAAATAGTTTAGATTGTAATATTATGTCACTTAAATGTTGGAACTTTATGATTTTTCGCCTTTTCAAGTTCTTGTGGTACGATCTTATTAAATTAATACATGTTTCTAGAATACGAGTCAAATAAGAAGGTAGTTGGTATGTTAAGTGTCTGCTAAGCATGATTTAAAAACGTAAAAGGATGATTTAAGATTATATGATTAAGAAATCCGTTCAACAGTGTGCATTGATAAAAGCTTCAAATAAATCAAGCGATTGTACATTATTGGAAGCCAAGTGAAGTCATATTCGTTTTGAAAAAAAAAATGAGATATCCATGCGAATAAAATGTTATTGATCTTCGACTTGCAAAATATTGTATTTATATAAAACCTGAAATACAACTGGTTAATTTATATTAAGGGTGTATTGAACCCTACAATTAAACGGGTTTATTAAGACACTTAAACTTATAAAATCGATAATTGTATGTTTTATCTTAATGCATTACAATAAGTTTTTTGAACGAAAGTTAGACAACCTAACAAATTATATAATTATGAAACAATAAGCTAATTAATAAAAAAACATAATATTAGCCCTTTTTTCATATAAATGTTTAATAATTTTTTTTAATGTCTTATAAAATGGTTAATATTACAATTTACTTTTTGATTTCTATCAAGTATTACAAGACTCGAACCGTTGACTTATAAAAGAATTATTAAAGATCCAAGTTTTATTAACGGTTCAGATAATTCAAAAGAATATTTAATATTTTTATGCTCCCTGTGGATCTTATGAGCTGTTTATTTAGCTCTTAATAGTTTCATTAAGAGGTGAATTTTGTTTGGCAAAAAAAGTCTGTCTTTTAATGGTTCTAAAATCCTTTAAATGATTTTATATCATGGGCCTCCCTTAACCATTCAGTATCCTAATTCCATTGCAAACAATTATTGAGCAATTATATTTCATTTTACACTATATGATGAGAGCCATTTAATCATTCAGCACCAAATCATTCAGCAACTGCCAAATAACCCGTTACACATAAATTTGTTAGGAAGTACTCCATGTATTAATGAGCTAATAACTCACATAATTAGGACTATATAAATACATAACCTCTCAAAGCTGTTCAGATGTAATAAAATAATTACAAGGTCTATGTACTCCATCTATTATTGAGCTAATGATTGGGGATGTCAATTATATGCTCTCATCAATGATTTTAATGCACAAAAAACAAATACTTCTTTCATGCAATTTTAAACTCTAGAAAATAAGCAAATGTTTATTAAACAATTATAATATTCTAATAAAAATAAATAACCACTTATTTCTATAATTATTGTATTTAATATTTTATATCGAAATAATTAACGTTAGTTGAAGAAATCTCAAAGACTTATACTTAAAAACGATAAATAGTTGTAATAAATTTGTTTCAAACGATATATTCTATCCATGTTTACAAACGAAAAAGTTTTGGGATTTTCTCGAGAAAAAGTAGTTATGATATAAAGAATTATTGGAAGCACAAAGGGTTTTACTGGAACTCCGAAAGGCTGGTAAAATCTCGATACTGGTTGAAACTGAAACTGTTTAGATACGACATAGAAAATGGCACGGGAACAAAATGATAGTTCATTGAAAAGGTGTATATAGATCCATACTTCATTTTTCAAGAATTTAGATATGCATTATTGATGCAATGAATTTCAAGCAGGAGGCATGAATGCCGCAATGAAGTAATATACAGATGAACATGTTAGACAAGATGATCGATATCCTATCATGTTGTCATTTATGAAGCGTTGTTGAAAAGGGGAAAGAGCATGGGCTTGTTGCGAGTTCCTTACGGGTAGCAATTAGGGACAATTACATATGTGTTTTTAGTTATAACTGGGGTCTGAAGCTGACAAGAGGTAAGTTGAGATGTTTTGACGCATGATTGAAACAAACATAAGTGTATACATGTACTTTAGAGAGAAAAACTTCATCAACTTAAAATAATCCATAAAGTTACATTACAACTCCTTTATGACACGATGGTTCACTTTTTTTAAAGTTTCGAAGAAATTGCTTTGAAAGGTGTCACCTGGTGTGCCGAACCATCCTGGGTCCTAGCATGTTTACCTGTTGAACCAAAAATCTGAAACTCAAAAAGACTAAGGGGTCGTTTACTAAACAACTTGGTAAGTGTTTACCGGATAAATTTCCTTATCAGATGAACATGAGAAGGGTCAGGAATCTTACCGGGTAAGAGCGATGAGAATGATGGAGAGTCTTACCCGGTAAGTGAGGATGACGACTCTTACCCAGGTAAGCGTTTACCCAGTAAATTGTTGCATTCGATATGTTTTGATGTACTAAAATCTTGTGCATCAAAATAAATCATAATGTTGACTCTTATCGGTAAGCGCTTATCGGGTAAGCAATCAGGTAAACGGCCCCTAAATAAGCCAAAATTATTCATATAAAGATAACGAATGATGAACGCAAATATTAGATTTCACGTGATTTATATATCAAACGAAATATAAAAACAAAAATATCTTGTGTATTTTGAAAAACTTAAATTCAAAGGACCCTATTAAGAATTTTTAACCTGATGGATGCAAACCAGATATTATACATCTATACTAGATATAAGTACAATAACACGACCTCTAAATTCTATTTATGATATATATATATATATATATATATATATAGACTTAGGATCATGTGAGACCAATGGTTTTTCGTGAGACCTGTAAAACCAATTTACAACCTTTGGATTAGATCTATAATATGAAAATCTAAACATTCGTAAATGCCATGAGACTTCTCAATAATCACAAAATTGCCATCGTGTAATTTGGATCATTAGATCATTCACTTATAAAATTGATCAATGAACATAAATTGATCTTACGGGTCTCACGAAAAACCTTTGGTCTGACATGAACCCAACCCTATATATATATATATATATATAAAATTAATTTTTTAATCTTTAAACTCCGTTACTCATGTCATGATTGTAGTTGTAGATTTATCGTAATTACATTAGTCACATTTTTTGTTTAATTTTAATTAAATTATTTGATATTAATAATAAAGGGGTGTTTGGTATTGCTTTTTTGAAATAACTTATACTTTTCTATAAAAGTGCTTATCAACTTATTATAAGTTAGAATGCTTTAACTTCTTAAAAAACTTCTTATTACCAGTTTAACACCGGTGTAACTTGTTTATTCAAACACTCAAAAGTATTTATTATTAATGCCACACCAGAATAAGTCAATAAACTGTTTTTATAAGCAATCCCAAACACCCTCGTAAAAAAGACATAAAAAATACATATTTATTTAATTCCTTGTGTATTAAGGTCCATCCTTCTAATAAATCCACCACACTCACACCTCACTAAAAAAGATGCTTCTCCTGAAAATAAAACTTGATGTAAACATTTAACAACCCAAAAGAAGATGATTTTTAAAAAAATATAAAAGCAATTCTGCCTTCACACAGCTGCTTCATTGCTGGCTCTTCGTCCCCATAGACCCTACATCTTGGACTCACCACCACACCCTCTTTACCGCCAGTGACACCCACTTCCCATTAACACCTATTTGTGTGCACCACGCGCCACCGTTGCGATGGTTGCAGAACCCCTAAAACCCTGACTTATTTGCTTACACCATTTAATATATTTAATGAGATACTTGATGTGAGGACATAATAAGGAAAATGGAAATGGATCATGTAATTTTCTTTGGCATTGGAGTGATATTCTTTTCCTGTAATTGAAGCGTTTAATCGAACAAAATTTATACGCCTTTTGATTATTTTTAAGAGAGAGAAGAAAAGAACCCATCTTTAATAGAGAGAGAGAGAGAGAGGATTTAGTAAAGAAATCTTGTATTAACGTGCGCAGATCCGGCTAGTGCGCATTGTAGCTTAATCCACTCCTCTGCTTCTTGAAAAAAGGGGTTTGCGCTGTGGTCCATTTTGTTTGTTTGTCCTCTTCACCAGTACCTAATTCTTTTGCTCTTATCCCTACTTGGTTTTTCCATCTCTTTTAGTAAGTTTCTAAACAGATCTATTTCGGGTTTTCTTGATTTTTCAATTTCTTTACATTTCAAGATCAAATTTTGAAGCAAAAGCAATACGCAGGATAGTGGGGTTTGTTGGTGTGGGTTGAAGGAAGCTTCAGATCTTGTTGTTGGTGGTGGTGTATTATTAGTTGTGGTTTTACACTTGAATTTTAAAAGGGTATTCTGGTTGTTGTTGGTGAAGAGAAACAAGCAAGAAGGATGGAAAGAGACCCACAAGTTTTCTTTTGATATCAGTAATGGCCTCCTCTCTTTGACTTGAGAAATACTAAAACACATCTTCTTGTTCATTTTGCTTCTGTGTTTATTTTCATCAAAAAGCTGTTCTCTTCTTCTGTCTCTGGTTGTTCTTTTTGAGGGAGAAAGTGGGGGAAAAGTGCGATTAAAGAGCAATGTTGGCAGGGAGTCCTTCTAGTGCCCGTACCGCCACTACTTGCAATACTTTACTTCGGGAACTTCAGGTACTCTTTTTTTTTTCCTTCTCAATAAACAGTCTAAACTCAATCTTTACCAAATTTATTTGTTTCAATCCCACTTTTCAATTTGAAATTACCTGCAAATTTGTTTCATTTTCATATGTTCTTGTCATGGGTTTTGTTAATTTTCTGAATTTGATGGTGTCTGCAAGTTTTCAAATGGATATCTCGAAATGGGTATTCTTTAATTCGCCTCAAAATCAGTGGACTGTTGGAAATATGGAATGTAAGTCATGAAATTGAGGGGGTATTTTCGGTTCCCTGAAATTAATGCAACTGTGAGAGGTGAAGCTTTTGGAATTGAAGTCACAAGATGTTATTCTAAAATTTATATGATTTTTCTTTTAATTTTGTTAAATTCATTTAATAATTCTGTTGTCCATTCATTTCACAAGTTTTACAGGCTCTTCTTGTTCAACTAGAATTTGGAAAATGCAACTGCTATAAACCCTATAATTTCTTTCTCCTTTCCCCCAAAGCAATTGGGATAGGACATGGAATTATGTATGATTTCAGAAATCTATTATATTTTTGTGGAATTTTTGATGATAAAAATGTGCCTTTCTTTCGATTTTTATCTTCTGTGAGCAGCAAATATGGATGGACATAGGTGAGAATGAAGCAGAGAAAGATAGAATGTTATTGGAATTGGAGAGAGAGTGCTTAGAAGTTTACAGAAGAAAGGTTGATGAGGCTGCAACCGCTAAAGCCCGCCTTCATCAGTCCGTTGCCGCCAAAGAAGCTGAACTCGCCACCCTCATAGCCTCTCTTGGTGATCTTAACGTTCATTTTCCGGTAAAAGAATGGTCTTGGTTGAAGAAGCCATCATTGTCAACTTTAATATTGCTTTTACCTAATCTTAATCATGTTTACCTTTTAGTAGTCTTTCACCCACCCCTTTAGCTTTATTATATATACTCTCTTTCTAAATAAAGACACACTTTGACTTTGAAACCCAAGTCGACCATATTTTGGATTGAAGACAGTTATGGCACATAAAAGTTTTAGAGAAAATTGTATTAACCATGGGCTTTAATGCTTTATAGCAAGAAACATAAAGAAGTGAGTTGCATAGTTACACCACTGTCCTTGACGCTTCGTATCAAAATAACCATCGTAGTTGAAAAAATCACCAAACTAACTTGCAAACTTGCCAAATATGCATTTTAAACTGTTATAATAGATTTTAGCTTTCACAAAAACCATTGTACCCTGCAAATTTTGGGCAAAAATGATCAGGTTTTGCAGTGCAAGTGTTCTTTTTGGGATTTTTTCAAGTATAACGGTTGGTTTGATACAAAAATGTCAGGTAAGATGGTTGCTTGAGTAGTTAAGATAAATTTATTGTTTGGCTTATTAATTTAAAATGTCCATGAGGTTGTCTAAACAACGAAGATTATGCAGTTTTTTCTTTCTAATTTCTTGAACGTTCCTTTTAAATGCTGTCAATGAGTTTCTTCATGATATTTCAATGTTATTGATCATTATGTGGATGCATTGACCTCTTTCTATTCCATAGTAAATAAGTCCATTTTTAACTTTTCAAGAGGCGTTTGATTTTAAGTTCCAACCTATAAGAATCTTTTGGGTATGGAGAAACAAAATATGGTTTAAGTTTAACTTATCTTAAACAAGTGTTTATGTTTAGTAACTGCGTTTGATATGTTCTCCCGAATTGTACAGCTAAACATGGAAACCAAATCATCATCGTTGAAAGCTCAACTTGCAATGGTTTCACCGTTGGTAGAAGATTTGAAAGTCAAGAAAGAGGAAAGAATCAAACAGTTTGCAGATATCAAGGGCCAAATTGAAAAAATTAATGGTGAAATATCAGGATATAGTCAATTTGTAGATGCAGTTAGTTCGTTGAATCTGGAAGAACAAGATTTGTCTCTTAGAAAACTTGGAGAATACCAGTCTCATCTTCGTACTCTGCAGAAGGAAAAGGTAGAAGACCTTATATGTATTATGCATTTTGTTATGAATAATTTTCGTGATTAATATCTATCACAATATTCATCATGAATGATACATGAAAAGTTGGTTCTCAAGTTCTCATTTGAACCTGCCCCTATGTGTTACTATTCTAAACTCTAAAGGGAGCAATGCCCAGAAAAGATATACTAATAGAAAAGGAATGTGTTATAGAAATTACACGAGCTACAATCTTTTCAGAACCATCGGTCTTTATATTTGTGTGTTGATTGATGTTATCTGCAGTCAGAGCGGCTTCATAAAGTTTTGGCGCATGTGAATGAGGTGCATTCCATGTGTAGCGTTCTTGGGCTGGATTTTGGAAAAACCATTAGTGATGTGCATCCGAGCTTGCATGGTACAAGCCTGGAAAATGCAACAAACATAAGTGATAGTACATTGGAAGGTCTAGAAAACGCCATACTTAGGTTGAAAACAGAGAAGAAAGTGCGGTTTCAGAAGGTAAACTTAAGCTGAATGATAAAGGGCGTTTTATTAGAAAAGAACGATACGAAGCTGCAGATATCTTAGCTTTTAGTTTATTAAAAAGTGGGTTTTTTCTTTCTGAAATATAGCTGAAAGATATTGCTGGATCTCTATTTGAACTTTGGAATATAATGGACTCAACAAGGGAAGAAAAGAGTTACTTTTCAAGAATTACATCGATTATCAGATTATCCGAAGCAGAAATCGTGGAACCGGCATCTCTTTCGTTAGATATTATTCAGCAGGTTTAAACTTTTAACCCGTTTCTGGCTTTTCTTTCCAACTTTCTATTTGTCAATTTCAGTTGAATAATAAATTTGTTGGCAGGCTTCACAAGAAGTTGAGAGGCTCAGTAAACTGAAAGCAAGCCGAATGAAAGAACTCGTTATGAAGAGGAGGTCAGAATTGGAAGACATTTGCATCAAGACTCACATTGAGCCTGATCCAAGCACGGCTATTGATAAATCTAACGCAATGATCGATTCTGGTAAGTGGTCTCATTTCCAAATTATAAACTAGTTTGATTGATATGGAGTAAAGTATTTTGAACGTTTTGTTTGTAGGTCTGGTAGACCCAAGCGAACTTTTGGTGAATATTGAAGCACAAATTAGTAAGGTAAAGGCTGAAGCTTTGAGCAGAAAGGAAATCATGGATAGGATAGAACGGTGGCTCTCTGCATGCGAAGAGGAAAATTGGCTTGAAGATTATAATCTAGTAATGTTCATTTCCTCTTTTTTTTAATCAACTGTCGAATGCTCCTTTGATTATTAGAGAATACGTGGAACCCCGTTAGATTACTCTTCAAAAGATCCCTTCCAACATATATTGAGGATAAATGGTCAAGGTCTAGCATGTGGGAACTCTAACACCCCCTGCCAAAGGGGGATAGATGGTCAGAGATTGTCCTAGAGTGTCAAGAGGGGGCTAGATGGGTGAGGTATAGATTCCTAGAGTGTTGTGTCCCTGGAGTGGTGGATATTGGCTCTGATACCATGTGATAATATATGGAACACCGTTGCCAAAAGAGCCATCGGGGAGAGAAGGGAGGTTCCAACGTATATTGAAGATAAATGGTTCAAGTGTCGCCGATGTGGGACTCTAACAGATTAAACAAGAACATGTATATGATTGTTAGGAGATGTGGAACCCCTTTGAATCTTTCTAAAACGAACCCCTTTGAGTCTTTCTAAAAAAGCCCTTATGGAGAAAGGGGAGGAACCCACATATATACGGGTTTTAATGGTCTCAGTTAAATGTTTCTTTAAACCAATAGCTTCTAGATTTTGAGCAGCTTTTCTTTATTCATTTTTAGGATCAAAATCGGTACAGTGCTGGAAGAGGAGCTCACCTAAGTTTAAAACGTGCTGAACGGGCTCGAATTACTGTCAACAAGATTCCGGGTATATATTCTTCATTGCATACCATATCATCCACTTCGCTAGCTCTATTAATCCTCCCATTGACAACCTACCACTTACAGCTATGGTTGATAATCTAATATGCAAGACAATTGCGTGGGAAGATGAGAAAAAGAAGTTGTTCCTTTACGATGGGGTGAGTTTTCTTTTTGCATTATTTGTCAAAAAGGGGCAGGTTCATTTGAGAACGGTAAGTATTTTGAGAACTATTCATGATGAATATCGTGAATAATGAAATGCGTATGCATGATATTCATGATGGTTGGTTCTCATGGTCGTCAAAATATTTACAGTTCCTAAATGAACTTTCCCCTTTTCAAGAAATCTTGTTTTTGTTTGATTATTGTTTTCCCCATGTTGATTTTGAGTCTTTCTCTGTGCGTTCTGAATATAGGCACGCTTGGTGACGATTTTGGAGGAATATAAACTATCGAGACTACAAAAAGAAGAGGAAAAGAAGCGATCCAGGGTAAATTTTCTACGTTTTTCAGAAATTGTTCTTGGTACTTCGTTTACATATGAGAAAATGAGGGGTATTAAGGTCCATTCGCTTTTACACAGGACCAAAAGAGGCTTCAAGACTTGCTACTTAAAGAAAGAGAATCCATTTATGGCTCTAAGCCTAGTCCAAGGAGAGCTAGTAGTTTTAGGATGACAAGCAACGGGTATCGTGGGAACGGCAATGGGTCGATGACTCCAACACCTCGCAGAAGCTCTGTTGGGAGCCCAACAATGGAACCAATGACTCCTCGATCGTATTCTGGACGTCAAAATGGGTATTCCAAAGAAATGAGAAGGTTATCAACCGTTCCACTTAACTTCGTCGCCATCCCAAAAGAAGACACGATATCATTTTCGTCTGTATATGGTTCCGAGCCAGGGTCTCCCCTTCAGAGCTGAATCTTCCGACATTAAGCGGTATGTCTACTTGTTTAAACACACACACATCCGAAGTTGTGCGTTGAAATTTAAATCTAATTATTTTCTATATTTGTTATTGGTGCAGCAGCACAGACCCTACATTCGAATGAGATATACCGAGTCTGTTAGAAAGGTTGTGAATATTTGAAGGGATTGTACACTAGTTTTATGATTGAACAGTGGTAAAGGATCAGCTGACAGTTTAGCAGCAGAGTGTGGTAAAGGTGTGGATAGAATTGGTGCAGTTTTTTTGTATGTTTGTTGGGTGAGATTTTCGTGGTTTACTTGTAATATGGTATGTACGTGTACGTGTTTTTTGATTCGGTGTGATGGGCAGACCAAGCTTTGAAACGACCCGATAACCTCTCGATCATGGTCTGAAATTGTTAGCCGATGCGGGATAGAGTGGTTCGACCAACCCTTTACTATGTTGTTTTGCCCCTGGCTAGATATGCGCAAGTAACAAGTTGCTTGATGATTGATTTTATGGCTGGTAACAAATTATCAACAATTTAACTGTTTGATAGGTGCTGAATTAATTAGTACAGAATAGATAAATGTGTAAGCAAGAGAAATGAATTGGTTATAACCATTTTCAGGTATAGGCAATGTGAATGAATACTAGTTGTGCTCACAAATGCAAGGATTTAACCGTTTTCGATATCAACGGCATTATTCATCCCTGCTTCCACCCCGAAGACCGGGTACAAATTATATCTTTTTGAATCAAATCTAATTTACTTGCGAATAATATGCGTGTGCATGTGTTGCTAGGGCGTTCGGTAAAAACCGGACAAACTCCAAAGCATTATGCTCATGTAATTAGAGTCAAATTCTAGGATTTTGAAGATCAGTGATGAGCATGAATTGGTATAAACCATCAAAAATTCTAACCAAATCGAATACTTTCGTGCTACCAAGCATAAAAAACTAAAACGCCAATGTAAATTTTCTATTTTAGATGATACGAGGTTTGAATGGATATAATTTTTTTGATGATCTTGAAGGTAAGTTTCAGTTTGACACTAAAAATATATCTAGTGGTAACGGAGTTTGACACTAGGAGCTGTTTGGTAATTGCTGAATGGTTTGGCGCAGAATAATTAAGTGGTCAGAATAATTAAGAGACTCTCATGATATAATGCAAAATGAAATATAATTGTTTGCTAATTGTGTACGATGAAATTAGGGCTCTTAATGGTTAAGGGAGATCCAATATACAAAATCATTGAGAGTGTTCTAGAACCATTAAGAGACAAACTTTTTTTTGCCAAACAAGATTTACCTATTAACGATTCAACGATTGTCTCTTAATGGAACTATTAAGAGGTAAACAAACAACTCCTAAAATCTAGATCATTAAGGGCTTGTACGGAAACCACTGAATGGATTCTCATTCACAGCCTTGGACCGAGCTCTCTCATAGTCCCCATTCAATGTATTTGAAAACCAAAATTGCTCCTCTAAATGAACCAAGAGGCTTTGACCAAGCCCAGTGACCTTTCCCCCATCCACTCCCAATTCAGAGGCCGCTTTTCCCGATTTTACCCCATTTCTCCTATATAGGGGGTGGACCCACCTTATTGAATAGGGTGACACGTTTTACCACTTCATTCCTCTATTGTAATGAAAAAGTTATAGGGTCGGAAAAGGTATCACCGTATCATATTCTATGTACAACCGTATGTATTTTGAAACAACATTGACTGCACAAGTTTTCTTTGGTAGAATTGGTTTGCGTTGCTTTTCACCCACCCTAGGCACGGGTTCAAATCCCTTTTGTATCATTTCTTAGTTTTTAGCTTTTACTTTTAGATTTATTATGTTTTTGAAAAACATTTACAATGAGAGACTCGAACAAGGAGCTTACAATACTAAAGGCAAGGAATAGAGCATTGATGATTTTGTGAAAATATCCATATCTTAGTTTTTTATAGTCAAATGATGCCACCACTTAAAAAAAAAAAATTCTGACCCCACCTAATGCTTCTTCACTTTGCTGCTGCTATCTGGTGGAATTGGGGAAGTGAAAAGGTGAAGTGAAGTGGGCTTGAATGATTCAAATAAGGGTAGGGGTGTCATTTTTGTGGTTGAATGGGGACAACACACCATTTCTATCTATGCGATTAATATATGTTCTGTGTGAATAAGCCGCAAGTAAACAACCCAAATGAGCTGTGCGAATAAGCCAAATAGACCAATAAGCCTAATTAAGCCGCAAGTCTACATCCGCTTAACGTACAAAGACTTATGCACAATTAAACTGTAATTTCCCAATTAAAATTTCACAATGTTCCCTTCATTCAATCATATTTTCATTTTTATCCTCTGTCAGTATTGATTCATTAATCTGATTTATTAAATACTCAAAATGGAAGTAAGTATTTTATAAGAAAATACATCGAGTCGATTAAAATGACATATCAAAAATATTAAGCAACATAAAATCATATATATATTTGCAGATTTCAGATACCGGGTAAGAGCGGGTAAGATTCTCGGTCCTGGATGCTCATCCGGTAAGGTAAGTAGCACTCTAAGCGTTTAGTAAATGGTCTCTTAGTTTCCACAATGCGATGCTAAGATGCTCTTTTTTAAATATACAGACAGTAACAATGGATGATTTGCAACCGGAACCACCTCTATGGCATGAAGATTCTGGGCTGGAAGCCCTGGGAGAATGAAAGGAACAGGTCCTCTGCCAGTCCCGGGTCAGGCCCGTTTTGCGATCTCTTTTACAAAGTTATAATCTTTTGAAACTGGACCTATTAAGGGGGCTAGTTGGTTTCAAGATGAGGACCAACAAAGTATTTTAAATAACATTCCTGTCACCACTCTCCTAAACCAAGGACATAAAACAAATTTCCATAGGGACTAAAATCGCAATTTATTCTAAAAGAAATCTTAGTTTGCCAAAAGATCACAAGTATTCCTGAAATTAAGGGCAACAATTGGAGTAAAAGCAAGTCAAGGTTGAGATACTAAATACAGAAAGAGAAACATAGACCCCAAAATCACAGAAAAAGTAGGAAACAAATTCATTTGATATATAAGAAAGTAATCGAAACAAAAATGTCAAATATAAACCAAATTCGATAACGAACGACGATATAGTGGTGGTGATCGGTTTCAGCAGGGACCAACGCAGATGTGGAAGAGGGCTTCCGAAGCGCTAAAAGACCAATGCAGTCTTTTCATAACGAGCCTGGCTCCTTGTTCAGTGCTTCGGAATCCTGACATAGAGGCTGATGTCATAAAGGCCACCAGCCACGATGACTCCCACATTGATTATGTCAGCGCCCAACGCATTTTCATGTGGATTCGCGTTTCCGGTGACTACGTCAATCCAGTAATGCTGTCGCTTTCCAGCAGGATGAAAAGGACCCGCAGCTGGACGGTGGCCTTGAAAGGCCTCATGCTTTTGCATGGGGTTTTCACTTGCAAAGTCCCTGCGATTCAAAAGATCGGTCAATTACCGTTTGATCTTTCTAACTTCAAAGACCGCAACCCCGATATGCGCCATCACGAAGCCTTTATTCGTGCGTACTACACGTATCTCGAGAAAAAGTCGTTGTTCATGTTCCATCATTTGCAGGAACAGGAAGAAGAAAAGAGGAAAAAGGAAAAGGATTTGAGCGAAATGGAAAAGAAGCAGAAACAATCTTCCATGATGCAAGATCTCGAATGGATCCAGAAACTTCAAGGTTTGCTCGACGTTTTGCTCAAGATCAGACCGCATCGAGACAGCATGATGAACGTGTTAGTTCTCGAGGCAATGGATTGCATCATGATCGAGATCTTTGATATTTACAGTCGTATTTGTAACGGGATCGCTGCGGTTCTGGTGAGGATATACACCACTAACACCACGAAAGCCGAAGCCACAAAGGTAATGTCGATTTTGAAAAAAGCAATGGTTCAGGGCGAGGATCTGTCGCAATACATCAACCTGTGCAGCGATCTCGGGGTTATGAAAGCGAAAAAATTCCCGAAAATCCACCGCATCCCTGAAGAAGATATTCGAGAACTCGAGCACATTATCAAAAAAGATTCAGATCAACCAAAAACCAAACAAATTATTCGAAAAGACGACGAGAAGAGCAAGAAAACAGTTGAACAAAAGGAATCCAAAGGCGATTCGGAAACCACAATCACAGTTAATTGGGAATTTGTGGAGGAAGAACGGAAATCGAACCATGATCCAGATCCTACCCTTCCGGCCACAGAAAATGATGCCGGAATCCATCCTTTGGCCAAGGAAGCGCCGGATTTGATGACTTACGACTCTGAGGGTATGAAATCTGATGAAGACCCTCCGATTGAACGTGGATGACCACAAGTCGTTTATTTGACTGCAATCTACATGTTCATTTCTAGAGCTTTGGCCCTGAACCACACAATTGTTTTCTGCTTCTACATTAATTAATGAACTCACTGTAGCTCGTTCCATCCCTATCTAGTAATGACGATCGTTATGTTGTTGACAGTCTTGCACATGGTGGGTTCGGTTGGCCGGTTTCAATAAAGCATTGTAGAACCACCACCACTGCTACGATATAAACCAATGCTACAGGAACACCAAATTCGACTTCAAACAAAATTCATATGATTGAAACCTAAAACCTAACAACGTCCAGGTGAAATCATTCATCATCTAGCAAGAAATCAGTTGAAAGAAAAGAGAATTTCGATCTAAGAAATCAGTTGAACTTACTGTAACTCACGTTCTCATAAAAAGCTAAATTTTTTTAGACTTCCAATTAATTAGAAATAATACTTTATAAACCAATTCAAGTAGCTTAAATTTCTATCATAAAAACGTATTTTTTTTAAAGAAACATTAGGATGGAGTCATAAAGAGATGACCCTTGCCGAACCTATCTAAACATGCATCTTGATGTTCTACAAAAACCCACAAACATATAGGTCATAGGACGACACAAACCCACAAACATCTTTTCGATTTGTGTTTGGACCGGTCGACTTTGTTTTTGTGTCCAAAACGGATCGCGAATGCCAATCGCCGATAGCAAACGTGAAACATTGGTGAAAAATAAGTTTGCTTTATTTTATTTTAGGATGATTATTTTATGTCAAACCAATCTCCATCTTTTTATGTTTAGTGAAAATCCAACAAAATTCAAATCACACGAATTAACACGACATAAATATAAAATTAGAAACAATGTGATGGAGTAGTTGGCCAAGAAGCATTGCGTGTGAGCATAAGTACTCCTAAGATATATGGCTGTATGCCTCGGCTGATCACAAAAATTGTCGGAACCATGCACTACTTGCATGATCAAACTCATGGATCCTTTAATCTAATCAAAATTCCACAATAACTCGAGTTGATTTCTAGTTTTATGGACACCCTTCTTTACTTATATACATAGGCACATCTTGTGTGATCGATCTGTACATGTAACTATGTGATTTTTTAAGATCCCGTTAAATTCGCCCTGCAGATTTCTTTCTGTTGCTAATTGAACATGTCGTCGTTGGACCCAAGTGGGTGCAAGAAAAGGAAGAGGGTGGAGAGAGTTTTTAAGTTCAAGGCGTTTGGTGAACAAGGGTATCCGATCGAGAGTTGTGGCACTTTCCGAGACAACGTCAAGGCTCTCTTAGAATACGGAAATGTCGAAATGACGTTCGTGAATGGAATGACATTTTGGTCGTTTCAGCTCGAAGTCCATCGTCACCCTCCTTCTCATATCTTGCTATTCGTTGTTGAAGAGTCAGCCGAGGCATCATCACTAAATCGTCATTGCAAGCATTGTATATACGTTGGTAAAGTTCGTCATCTTTGCTAATAAATCATGATTTCCACTCTACAAATGTGTTACTTGTTGTTTTCTTCTATATATGGGATATATGTATATGTATATATACACGCAAATACAACAAGCATTAATTAATCGTAGATTATGAAAGCACAGGGTGGGGAGACCATATGATATGCAATAAGAAGTACCATTTTTTGGTGCCATCAAAGGATACAATGGCAGCTTTCTTGAGCTATGAAGGAAATCACAGCAGCATAGTAATGGGTAAGTTAAATTTTGTGGAATTAAACGGGCATACAATGCATGGTGTGTTTCACTCTAATGGGTTTGGGCATTTGCTGTGTGTCAATGGGTTGGAGATGGGTTCGGACTTGGCTGGCCACCTTATCTTGGAATTCTGGAGCCGTCTCTGCATCTGCTTGCAAGCCAGGTTAGATCCATCGGTCTGGAGCTAATATTTAATCATGCTTTATGGCTACAATAACGTTCTTTACATGATACCATACATATAATTTAATTACCAATGTGCTGGAATTCTGTGCTCAACTAGAAAACCTAAAAAAAAAAAAAAAAAAAATCATATTTTAAGTGTCTTGTGAGATTCAAAATTTGGTATAGAAACACTTACGGTCTTTTTAATCATGGATAGAGTTAGAATATATGCATCTCGACAGACGGTTAGGAACACTTACGGTTTGATTTGTTGAAAAAGGCTTACAAATATAAACAGAAAAAAGCCTTGTCAAAAAAGAAGTATCTTATATCGATCATATTTTTAGTTCTTGATACGGATATATAAAATCCATTACTTTGAAGAATATTACTCTACACTTTGGTGCCTAATTAACTTTTTATGAAGAAAACAAGACTAATTTTCATGTGAAATTGAAAAAATGAACATCATGCATGTTCTCTAAGTATGACACTTTTAGTTACCATACATATTTTAAATGTGACTATTATTTATCTCACATGAAGCTCTATATCTGAATATTTTTATAAAATCGTTTAACACAATTTTATAAATTATGATATAAAATATGTATAATTTTAATTTTTTTATAATTTACATTAACATCTTTAAAATTATTTTATCTGCTGAACATATATATGTTCACAGTTGCTGAACATATATATGAATAAGTTATATAGAGATATGAATAGATTGAAAATATGTGTATATGAAAAACATACATAATAGTGTAATTGTCTAATATATATATTAATAGAAATTCAACAATCATATTAAATCCAAAAAATAAAAGGATATTGGGTTCATCGGGTTGGGTTGGGTTCAAAATAATAGTAACCCAATATCAACCAAGTACCTACGGTTTGACAATTTTACAACTCGATTAGACATCGGGTTGGATTATTTCGCGTTGGGTTGAGTTGAGTTGATCGGGTTGGTCGGGTTTTTGAGCATCCCTACATATAACACTATATAACACATCCGATGTTATATAAATTAATCATATTTTAGATTTTCTTGCCAAATGATATATGACACATTGAAAAATTTGTAGTCGAACAATTTAAAGTAAAAATAAAAAAAACTAGTTACATACCACGTTATAAAACTAATTTCAAAAAATTGTACTAGTTTAAAATTGAAGTCGTAACAAAATTCACTCATGTGTTAGAATTTGTTATCTGAAAAATAGACATCAAAAATCTCGATCAGAAATTAGTTATATTTCATATATATGTTCTATTTTTTTTACATATATAACTGAAACAAAAACAAAAACAAAAACAAAAACAAAAACAAAAACAAAAATACACATGCATTCTTTCTTGTTAATGTTCTCACTTCCCTTCCTAGTAATGAACATGGTATGATATTATGTTTTTTTTCCATATACATTTATCAACCAATTACAATTGGTATGGAAAATTTTGTACCATATACCAACAAACTATATCTGATATCAACTTTCAGTTGGTAACTGTTGATGTGATTTTGTACCAGCATTGCAAAAATTAAAATTATAAATTTATTTAAATTGATATTTTAATTACCAACTAAATCTAAACGGATTAAAGCTATGAAACATTTACATAACATGTTAATAAATGTTATTCTATTTATCTCTATCTATATGAACGTTCAAATGATTTGCATATAACGTTTAATAATGTTATTATTACAAAGTAGAAATTTCAAAACCCCTCATCATTTTTTTGAAATTTTTTTAAAACATAAAAGCTGCAAAATCTACGAATATTTACGATCATTTTCAAATAATTAAATTATTGTCAATATATTTTGAATTTTTAATATTTTTTTTTTCATAAATAGGTTGCTTGATTATGGTGTCTTTGTCTCTTTGATCTTATTATTCGAGCAGAATAATTTATTAGATGTATGACCACATTGGGGTTAGGCAAATTTCATACACATGTGGGTGGAATCTTTCTACTCAAGTCAAATAAACAATCATTTCTTTTCATGAATTATATATATATATAGACTTGGGATCATGTGATACCAATGGTTTTTCGTGAGACTCGTAAAACCAATTTTCAATCTTTGGATTAGATTTACATGCGTCAGATTTGAATATTCGTAAACGCCACGAGACTTTTCAATAATTACAAAATTGCCACATTGCAATTTTAAACCATTAGATCATTAGCTTATAAAGTTGATTAATGAACATAAATTGGTCTTACGGGTCTCACGAAAAACCATTGATCTCATGTAAACCCAACCCTATATATATATATAGAGAGAGAGAGAGAGAAAGAGGGTAGAAGTTCAAACGATAGTACCTCTAATAAATCAAATTTTAACGATGTCTTCTGATCCAAAGTTTTAATTCACTATGTGTTATTTGGTCCCCATCTTGAAGTTTGATTCAATACCCCAAATTGATTGAGTTTGACTCGATGAGAATTGTTAGCATTATATTCTTGAAACAAGGATCAAATTAATTAAGTAATACAATATTATATACAAGAATAAAATATATGTTTTTAATTTAATTCAATTTGTTTATGTTATAAAAATCAAGTCATTAAAAACAATAATACAATCTTGTACTTTTTATAACAAATATTCTAAGACATATCATGGTTTTTTTTTTTTTTTTGCAATTAGAAACACAATCAAATCCCAAGATCAAGAAATTAAAATATTCAAAGTAAGAAACAACAATAATATTTTATTTGTATTTTAATACCTATATTTGGTTGATCCATATTAAAAATAAGTGTATGTCTTATATAAACCATCTAAATCTTTAATTGCAACTGCTAGGAAAGTTAGCTTGATTGATTTGGCAAAGCAGAAAAGCATGGATTTAAGGCTCCTTCATGGTGTAGCATATGGGCAATCATGGTTCGGTCAATGGGGTTACCATTTTGGGCGAGGAAGCTTTGGGGTCACACAGCAAATGTATCAAAAAGCCCTTGAAGCCCTCCAGAACATTCCTCTGTGCATCCTTGCTCATCACATTGGCACCTCAAGTATGGAGATCCCAATCTTGTTCTCTAGATACCAAACACTTTCGAGCCGGTCTTTGGTGACCCTTGCCGATCTACTACGCTTCATGCTCGACCTCAAATCTCGTCTTCCAAAAGAGAGTGTTTTGCATACACACAACCCTGGGATATTGGTTGAAAATTCTTGTAGATGGTCTCCTAAGCGTATTGAGATGGCTGCTCGGGTTATCGTTGAATCCCTAAAGAAAGCTAAATTCAGATGGGTTTCAAGGCAAGAAGTTCGTGATGCTGCCCGTTCATATGTTGGTGACACGGGTTTGTTGGATTTTGTGCTCAAATCTTTAGGGAACCATGTCGTTGGGAAGTACTTGGTCCGTCGCTGCCTGAATCCAGTAACCAAAGTTTTAGAGTACTGCTTAGAAGACATTTCTAACACTTTACCTAATCAAGAAGAGTCTGTTACAAATGATTCCAAGTTGAAGGCTCGGTGCAAAATCTCTAGGGCTCAACTCATGAATGACATGTTCTACATCTACAGGCATGTCCTCAAGGGACAAAAGAAAGACATGGATAGCACGATAACATCCACCATTTCGCTGGCAGCAAGAATAGTCCTTGATTCCAAGTACTTTATTAAAGATTACAATGGGGAGATATGTTCGAAAGCTGAAGTAGAAGCAGGTGAAAAATCGAAACTTTATTGTGCCATTGCGATACAAGACAAGGGCAAGATAGATGGCCACGAAGAAGGTGAAAAAAAGCTATTTACTACACCATACGAGACCATCATGTTAAGAAACAATGCAACATTCGACGAGCTCATAGAGGAAGTTGAGAAAAACTTTAAGGAGATATATTGGGGATTAAAGAGCTTCATGTTTGGGTCTATAATCAACTTAAACCCCAAAAGATCTGATCAGGTGTTCAAGGTAACCAAAACTAGTAGCAAACTTGTTTTCCAAGGCAAACTGGATGAAACTGGAACTAACCATGAAGGCATATACGAAAGTGGGTCGAGACAACGTTTCGTTGTGGATTGTGGCTGTGGAGCAAAAGATGACGATGGTGAACGAATGGTGGCTTGTGATATTTGTGAAGTTTGGCAGCACACAAGGTGTTTAAAGATTCCAAACAACGAAGAAACTCCAAATATTTATGTTTGCAGCAGATGCGAACAAGACATTCTAGTGCTACCAGCACTGCCGTAGTTGCAAACTAGCAAAGTGATCTTAATAGATACAATCACTGACCATCTATAATTAAGACACTGTTCTATTTCCTGTTAACGCTTCCGTTACACTATTCTTGTAGAAAATTGTGTGGATCGAGCACGAAATTTACCATGAGGAGAACAATTAACATCAGACAAATTAAATAGCAGTCAGTTAAAACCATTTTGACCATGAACATGTTACAAACTTATTGGATTCATATCGACCAGAATCCATAAGTAAGTTTTGTGAGACACTGGTCATGGATTTTGTGAGTTCGTTTGATGTCACTGGTCGATGACCGATTAGTGAGGGATTTTTGTTAACACTAATCTTTCCCTAATATATCGATATTTCCTCCTTACTTTGAAGTTTAAGAATATGTCACTAATCCTCTAGAAAACCCTTTATAATTACCGAAGTTCTGTCGGTGAAAGTGTCATTTCTTGTAGTGGCCAAACTTAATAACAAATGGTAAATTGGCATGTACGATCGTGCAAAAGGGGAAGATGCTCATGAACATTTGGGGAGGTTTGATTACGGGATTGAAGAAATACGGTTTTGTTTGGGCACAAAACAATTCAACTTTTAATTCAAGAACAATGATGGATATTAATTTTGTTTACACAAGTTCCTATATTTATGAAATAAATCAACTAAAAAGGGGTATAAGCCAAACCCACCTACCAAATGAAAGATTCTAAAATTTGACACCACTGAGCATAGCTTTTTTCTGTGTATCTTTTCGTCTATTCAAGATGGAAACCAGCCATGGAATACCTGCAGAAGAAATATACCAACTATATGCATAAGCCAAAGTATTGACCCTCTGTTATCTTCATTCCTTTCAAAAGCTTTGATTAATTCACCATTCCATTCTTATCATTTCCCAAAAACCTAAATGGAGAGCAGGCAAGTTGGCCTTTTCGGTCGTCAGACAGCCATGCTCGACTTGTCAGCTTCTCCTTCATTCACTAGGAAACGAATAAGAAAATCCATCAATTGTTCCAAAGAAACATTCTGAAACCAACAAATACTATATATATGTGTGCATATATATATATATATATATATATATTTCCGTTGTCCTCATATGTGTGTATTTGGATTTTTGGTGTGTGTGGAGACAGACATCCCTTGGATTCCATGGGTTTATACACATCAATGGTCTTGGAATTCTGGGTTTTGGATTAAGTGTGTTGATGGAAACATCTGGCTCTCTTTTTTTTCTCTCTCTTTCTCCTCCTCCCACTTGTAGATGGCAACACAAATAAACCAGACAAATGCCTTAGGTATCAATTGCAATAAAAAAGGGGACAGTACTTTGCAATATACCCATCATGGAATTATTGAGGTGCACATGCATAAATGTTACAATGTTTATTATCTCTCCCTTTGGTTCTTAAAACCGTCTTCCTTTTACAAAAAAGGCAAAAAAGAAGATAAAAGGAAATAACCAAGAAGCAATACCCATAAGTATTAGGAAACATATCATTATCCCACGGAACCATTGCCTGTGTGGCTGTGTCCCAAAAGACGAATGTATATGGACATGACTCGTTGATGCACTCTCTCCATCATCTCGACTGAATTAACTAAATATGCTTGCTGTACATGTCAGTTGTTTATAATTCTCCGTATAATTTAGACCGCTTTTATGCACCTCGATCAATGGCCAAAATAAAAGGTTGTGCACAGAAGAATTGGCTGAATAGAGTTATGCACCTCGATCAATGGCCACGTGAAGGAGCAGCGATTAGGAAAGCCAAAAATATGACGTTGATGCCATCATGACTGGGCTCTCAAGCCGAGGCTTTTAGTTCTAGAAAGTTGGAATTTTTTATAACACTCACACCACCACCAAGATGTGATATTATCTCATGGCGAATCATGAACGTAGATCTTGTTGTTTTAGTCATGTAACTAAAAGATGTGAGTCCTTTTTAGGAGTGTTGATTACCTGGTTTCTTTGATGGTCATTGGCCGGAGCTAATAACAGTAATTAACTCTATGTTTATCAAGATCGATTCATTACTAGTCTCACGTGCATCAATATCTGATTTTTTGGACACCCCAAAAATACTATGAGGTGTTTGGAAATGGTCGAAGTACTCGAATAGGAGGATTGTGATGACTATATCATCAGGGTCGTCCCAGGGTTTTTGATGCCTTGTGTAAAAATGCTAAATTTTTTTTGTATGCTTATTTTTTTAAGCAAATGAAATGAAACGATGGAACATACAATTTTTTAAAGACTTTGGAACCTAGTCAAGCTCGGCCAGCTCATCCGCACACCGATATCTATTAGTTATAATAAAAATACAAAACGAGACATAAAAACTAATATAATAAATGAAAACTTGATGCCCTTTGGCTTTGATGTATGTGCGGTCGCACGGGTAGGCCTGCATATCAATTGGTAAATTAATCAAAGCCAAAAGTTGAAATAAGAAAAAAGAATTTTTGCTTAGGTGCATGGAATTGGCTATCTAAGCATTTTAGAAACATGCATAGAACCAAAATGGATGGTTTTGTGCATACACACACTTAGGTTCAAGGAAAATCATAAAAAATGTAAAACTGAAAAACACCCTAAAAACACTTAAGTGGTTACCAATGCAACTAACAGGAAGGAAGACTAGAACATTTAATTTGGAGTGATCATGCAATGGTGTTGTTAGCTATTGCAACCCTCATCTAAGGTTCAATTTATCCGGAGAGATGAAGATGGGGTTACGCATGTGCCGGCAATGTGGTCACAGTTCTACATCTCACCCACCATAGGTGTGGACTCTTCTAACTAGTTATTTGATGTTTTGTACTCTTTTTGTAATTCCAGTTAACATAATGAAAGTTATTTTGCTTCAAAAAAATTAAACATCCTTACACAACACCTTTTGGAGCAAAATACGAGGAAACGAATGATAGTACAATGGATTCCTTAGCCGTATCCACTTTGAAACTGCCTCGTACATCTTCAAGAATCTTGAACACCATATCATTTATTCGTCTATCAATCCTCTTTTAAAAATTGGTTCCTCTGAAATTACTCTAAAATATTCTGATCGAGTGTCATACGTCATTCTTAATAACTTATACCTTGAATAGAATGGGAACTTCAAATTTCAAACATATATAACATTTTGAACATAATTCATTACATTAATTGTAGAAGTGAAAACATTTTAACGTAACCGATGCTAATCAAGATATCTAATCTAGCATGAACCAAAACATAGTCTCATCTTCCTTCTTTAGAATCACTTAACAACAATCGGTACCTAAGATATATACATGTATAATATAAACTAAAAGCTCAGTGAAAATAATATGGTTTCATGATAACATGCACAAATAATAGTGTTTTTGCATTCTAATTATTATCTCGCATGTAAGACCTCAATTCTTTACTTTTCTTTGGTTATGTGCTGTATTCAATGTATGAGGATTTCAAGATCTTGGAATTGCATGTCCTTCTTAGATGTCCACCCCACCCGTACGGTGGACGAACCTTGCCGAATCATACTAATTGCATAACTCACTCATTAATACAAATCTAATCATGACATGTAACTAATATACATCTCATGCAAGTGACAATATAAATTACATTCACATCCATCATCTTTCACATTATACATATACTCGAATATCAAATAAATAATATTTAAGTTTTCATAATCTCTCTCATACACCATGCATATACTTGAATATCATGCATATAATTGAATATCATGCATATCGAGTTATCACTATATGCATATAAACAAATCATGCAAATATCATGGATAAAATACTTTGTAATAATCGTTATATATTCCATAAAAATCACATAATGTACTCACCTTGAATTGTTAGTGTTCAATAAGTCGTTTTCTCAAAAACCGCAACCGAAATGATAATTTATATCATTTCTAAACACCTTAAATAATCGTAATTAAATTGATCATTACTTCATTATGATCTTATCACGACTAACTCTTAACGATTTTTATTGGTCAACACTCAATATCATCGTATCTCATATTTCACTCAAATGTTTTCTTGAAATATCATTATAAATACATATCAATGTTATAATATTTCTCGAAGTTAATCGACATTTACACATTCTATAAAATGCATATTCATATTATCTTGAAAAATAAATACTTCACCAAAATAGCAACAAATAAAAGACAAAATGCATGAAATAACAATCTACTTTCATAACTTTCCTTATTATAGCATTCTACTTTCCGTTTCTCTTATTACAGAAATGCATTTTAAAATTATTTTTTATTAGGACATTGTACTTTGAAAAAATTACCTATTATAGTATTGAGTAACCTTTTAATTTAAATTTACCTTTTATACCAGGTTTTCATGTCACCTCGTTGTCTATGTAGGCTATCCACATATACTATACAGCTGAAGTGATATTTCTTATTACAACATTGTACTTTCAAAATTATTTTAGGATAGCATCACCGGTACCTATTACAACACTGTACTTTTAGTTTTTATATTTTATTATTTAGATATTGTACATTTAATCAAACATGTTTTCCTAAATTTAATATTCGTTTCTAATCCTAACTTTTAATTGAAAATTTAGTCTCCCAACATATATATTATAGCAACATATATCCTTTTGATTTGAATTAAGATGATATGACACAAGTTACCAAGTTTCTATGTTATGTCATTGTCCACATGATATGTAAACTTTTGCTGCCGTGACATTTTTTATTACAACATTATATTTTGAAAAAAATGATTTCACATATTATTTAATAAATATATTAATTAGAAAATTTACAAATTCATTAATATACCAATATTAAGAAAACTAGTAGAACACAATTATCTCGCTAACATTTTTAAAAACTATGTATTTTTTGAAAAAAAGATAATAAAAAATGTTACATTTTTTACCAAAAAATATTTATCTTTTAAATAATATATACTTTAGTAGAATGCATTCTTCTTTCTACCAACTTATCATTGATATATGT